CTTGATCAGTTTACTTTTGTGTGTGATAGTTTATGTCACTGTTTTTATTGTTTCCTTTCAATTATTTCTTTAATTATTTATTTTGTTACATCAAATGGAGTCAGCATCTAAATTCACTTTTCTTTCCAAACCATTATTTTCCATATTATTGATTTACTGTGTGATTTCTTTTGCCATGCATTACTAGGTGTATTAACATGTTTTTGGGCTTCTCATTTCATCAATCTATCACTCTTGTTCAAGGAACACATTTCAATTATCAGCGCTTTATAGTTTACTAATAGCTGGTAAATCTGTTTTTTTCCTAATTCTTGTAGTTTCCAAATTACCCTTACATGTTCTCAGATAGTTATTCTTCATAATAAACTTAGATTGGTATTTTTAAACTTGGTGCAAGCCTGGATCAGTGACTTATGCCTATAATCCTAGTACTTTGGGAGGCTGAGGCTGCAGGATCATTTGAGCCCAGGAGTTCAAGACTAGCCTGGGTGACATAATAGCAAAAATTAAAAAATTAGCCAAGTGTGGTGGTGCATGCCTGTGGTCCTAGTTATTTGGGAGGCTGAGGCAGGAGAATTGCTTGAGCCTAAGAATTCGAGGCTACAGTGAACTATGATTGCACCACTGAACTCCAGCCTGGGTGAGAGAGTGAAACCCTGTCTCAAAAACAAACAAACAAAACAAAACAAAAAACTTGTGCTGCATGTGTTCTAGAAGATGCTTAATGAATTTTATGGTTCAGGTCTTAGTAATACCAGTGACTACATTCTTTATATGACTGTCATTTTTAAAAAGTCACTGCTGGCTTCTGTTCTCTTTTCCCTTGTCCCTTCTGAACAATTAAGTCCTAAAGCCAGTCAATGGCGCAGACCAAGGCAGGCAGCAGCATCAGAATGGGGAAATGAGCCCTGTGGACTGGAGAAGGGTACCTGCATGGGTTGAGGAAACCATTCCCTTGTGGCAGTGGTAGTGGGAAGCCTGGCACATGTTACAGAGGCCCAGGAGGGCGAGGAAGGCAAATGTGGGAGGAGGGATGGCCCAGCAGGGCGTTAGAACCCAGATGGGAGTGGGAGCACACCTGCACAGGGGTTGGAAAGGAGCAGCAGTGACAGAGATGATTTGCTACAGGGAATTGGAGCAAACTTGGTTTCTTTCTTTTGGAAAAGGGAGTTACCATGTTAAAAAGGAGAAAACCAGAATGAATCCTGGAGTGTCTGATTGGAATTGAAGTCGTTGGTGTGAACTCATGATACTCAGTATATGCACATACAGAAATAAATGTGGGTGTGTGTATACACACTCATTTCCTAGCTCTGTTTATTTAAAAGGTTTGGAAGCAGCAACACCCCAGTAGCAGTGGACATACCTGATTCTCAGATCTTGACTTCTAAATCGTACTCTCCATTAAAGGAACTAGGACTCCTTGGAAGAAAAGCTGATTTCACAGCTGAACCAGTTGTGCCAAAAGGCAGGAAAATGCTCAGAGGATGATATGTTTGTCAGAGGACACAGCCAGCTTGAAGGGGCTTCTTAGTGGTCAAATCTGGGAGAAATAGAACATCAAGACAAATAACATTAGTACATTGAATAAAAGAAGAAACCATGAGTTCATGTTGAAATAAACATTAAATGAGTAGGCGAAATGCTTGAGGACTACAATATTGATAGTATCAAAGTCCTTTCCCACAAAGTACTGCTTATTCATCATAAAGGGAGAAAGAGTAACTTTAAAGAACACTTGGCGGACACCACTTTAAAAAACTAAGGCAAAATTAGTCAGTGGTGGGTCAGTCAGAGTCTCCACCACACCAGACAGCAGGCTGCACCAAGAGGACAATGGCCCCCACTCCTCAGATGTTCTTCCCAGGAATCTAATTGTGAAGAGACATCAGACAAACCTTCATGGAGAAAGTTCCACAAAATACCTGACCTGTCCCCTTAGACCGACAGCTGAATGCAGCACAGGATCCTGAACTAGGTCTTGGAGAGTAAAAGGGCACTTTTTTGGTCAATTGGCAAAAAACGTAAATGGAGGTCTGAGGATTAGAAGGTAATAATTGATCAGTGTTAATTTCCTGATACTGATTGTGGGAGAATGACTTTGTAGGAAATGCTTCCCAGGAGTTGAAGTATCAGATCAGCTGTTTATAGTTTAGGAGGAACAATTCTTTGAACTGTATTATTTTTTAGAAGGAAAAAGTAATAATTGCTTCCATAAGGAGCCACTTTCAGAAAATGGCTGTCAGCCAGGACCATAATTCAGAAGTATGTGTGTGACTCATTTTTAAAACGTTGTGTTCTCACTAATGATCATATTTTGCCTTAGTGCATGTATGTCTATGTGTTTTAAGATAGCTTTTCTATGACAACATTGTTATTTAAGCTATCAGCGAAGAATGTAAAGGAAGGTGTAATGTGAAAATTCCCTAGTTTTCCTTTCTTCAAATCTGGTGGCTAGAAGTAGCCTTCATTCAGAACCTTATGTAACTTCTCAGAAGTTTTCTGTGCATATACATGCCCTTGGATTTATGTATGTGTATTTCCTTTACGATTCAAATGGAAGTATGTTATACATTCTTTTCTGCCACTTTTTTCATTAAATATATGAGGACATGATAACAAAATCAGTTCATGTAAAAAGATCGCTGCCTTGTATTTTTGTTACATAAGGTTTCATTTTTAGCTGACCCATAATTAAACTGATCAGTATATTTTATAGCCACTTGAGTTGTTTCTAAATATTTTTAAACTACTGTAAACAATACTACAGTGTCCCAGTGTTTCTTTTTCTTTAATTTGAGGTGGCATCTTGCTCTGTTGCCCAGACTGGTCTCAAACTCACGGGCTCAAGTAATTCTCTCTGGGTGTATTTTTCTTAACACATATGGATACAAGTATCTTACAGATCTTTAAAATCTGTATCTTATAGGTAAATGTATAGCATTGTAATTGGTGAAAAGTTATGCATATTTTTATGTGCGATATTTCCAAATTACTTCTAAGAGCCACTCTGTATCTCATATTTGTATCTCCCCCCTCAGCAAACACAAAACATTCTCAATTTCTGATTGTTGTCAATCTCAAAAAGAAAAACTATCTCATTCTGCGTTTGAGTGGCCTTTGGCACCTTCCTGTGAATGGCCTTTTCAGTCCTTTTCACTTTTTATTGGTCTTACTGATTTATTTATAAGCGTTACCTGTTAGATTATAGAAAGAAGCTCTGCTGGTCTTATTTCTTTACTATACAGGTGTTTTAAATTTCTACGTAGTCAGATTTATTGATCTTTTTTCTTACAGTTTATTCAGTGCTTAGAAGGAACTTTTCAAAGGTTATATTTTTTAAAAACTATTTTCTTCTAATACTTTTTAAAAACAAAATTCTAAGTGAAATAGGGATTGGTTTGTTTGGGACACACTGTGTTTAGTCTCAATTATGCTGTAAATTAGAAAAATGAAAATAGGGCCTGAAGTGTGCATTTGGGATTGGTTTTCTGTTATGACAAAATGTAATCCTGTTTTTCTTAATTTATTATAGTATAGTCTTACTCAATTTATTGAGTGGATTATGACCACTTTGATTTTTTAATAGTATAGATATAATATTAGCATCTTGTGGTTTTGCATTAATGAACCTTGACCTTAGTTTGTATACTAGTTTCAGTCCACACCTTTATCTCATATGTGGTTTCAATGTGTTACTCAGTGCTCCTGTAGTGGATATGCACTTGATATTTAGAGTCCTATCTGAGCTGCCCTTTGGGACTTAGGCCTTGAATTGAAGGAGTACCTGTGCTTTTGACCACTTGGTAACTGGGTGTAGGTTCTACCACTGCCTTTGGATTTTAACCCCAGCCTTGGGTAATATGTTCAGACCTGGAAATTTAGATTAGCTCTTTTCTTCAGATCTCAGTTGCTCTCCCATCTCTTCATTTCCCATATGTCTTCTTGTTGAGTGTTTACCTCCCCACTGGAGTACCAAGAAGCAGTATTGCCTAACATGCAAGGTACCTTTGGCCCATAAAGGTTATCTGTTGGTTTGGTATTTAATGGTTTTATAATTAATCTGAATGATAGGTCAAGAACCTTGGGGAGAAATTAAGAATTAAAATTTAAAAAGCATTAAAAGTATTCATAGTAATAGAAGGATATTTGTATGTTGAGCACCTGTGGAATAGTTGAGGTGACAGTTTATCTGTGTACACTATTTGAGTCTTATAACCTTGAAGAATTAATAGTATTTCCTAGGAGGAAACCGGAACTGAAAGGCTGGCTAACTTGTTTAGTATGATCTAGTTTATAAGTGGTTGAACTGGTTCAAATCCAGAGTAAACTTTCCAGTAGTCTACTCTAACGTCTTGCTCCAAGACCCTTTTTACAGTTACTACTGTAGGGAAGACCTCCAGTTGGAATCTTTTAATTACATTAATAAAATGTGAGAAAAGCTGGTCTTCAACGATAACAGCATAGAATCATAGTATAATACAGGTTCGACATGAATCATCAGTCATGACTTAAGATGGTACTTGTATAATGTATGACAACTATGTAATTAACTATGTTCCATATTTTCTAGAACTCTTAGCATCCCAAACATACTTTCAGAGTATGGGAAAGTCCCTTAATGGCACACCCAAATGAGGAAAAGTAACATTTGAGAAGAAGAGAGTTCTTTTTCTGAACAGAATGGTGGCTGTTGGACCACTTGGGCAAAAACTGAAATAATACTTCTTTTGGCGGGGGGGGTGTACAGAATTGAAACTTTACCATTAGATTATATAAAATTAAAAATAAGCCTGTTTAGTTTGTTCTTACAAATGATTTTTGTTAAATTTTACTCTTTCCTATATGAAAAACATTAGAAAATAATGTTTTGGTGAGAAAAACATTTTTTTTCATACGTGAATTAAACTGTTACTTAAGACTGCTTTGTAATCTAAACCGAGACTCTTGTGGATTTATATTACCTGACATTAACAAATCTCTTTTCTTTTTACATGCAGGCAGCTATTTTCAACTTCGTCAGAAGCTTTTCTACAGAGTCAGAAAGTACACAGCTTTTTTCAGTCCATATCTTCAGACTCTCTACACAGTCTCAGTAAGCATCCTCTCTGTCCTACTGTGGAAATCTGACTTTTTTCTTTCTTTGGGTTTGTTGCTTTACCATGTCATTTTGTATAGGTTTGTCATTTTAGCTTCAGAAATAGTGACATACAATTAAGAAATATCTGTCATTGTTATTGAAATTTATATAATAGTTTTAAAGACAGTAATGTAGCCGGGCTCAGTGGCTCAGCCTGTAGTCCCACACTTTGGGAGACTGAGGTCAGTGAATTGCCTGAGATCGTGGGTTCGAGACCCGCCTGGGCAACTTGGCGAGACCTCATCTCTACAATAAATCAAAAAATTAGCCAGGCGTGGTGGCGCGTGCCTGTAGTTCCAGCTACTTGGAAGGCTGAGGCGAAAGGATCGCCAGAGCCCAGCAGGTTGAGGTTGCAGTGGCCGGGAGCAGCCACTGCACTCCAGTCTGGGCAGCAGAGTGAGACTCCAATTCAAAAAAAAAAAGACAGTAATGTTATAAAAGCTGATGCAACAAGACAGACTAATTCCAAGGCAGGGTCTGAGTATCTCCAGACTTCAGGATATGGTCCATCCTTCAGCTCCTTGGCAGAGCTGATTCCCAGACTGGAGAGATGCCACAGTGCTGTATATATAGTGTATGATTGAGTCTGCCCTTCTTATGTGTCACCTGTCCCCAGAATGACCTTCCCAGCCACCCAGCCTGAAAACATTAGCCTTATTTCTTTTACTTTTCCTCTTCGTTTTCAGTCACGTAAAGGCCAACGCATGCTAGACAAAAACCCATGCTTTTTGTCCCTTCCTTGCCATCTCTTTGTTTTTAGTTAGGCCTTTCTTTCACGCACAAGTGTAACGCCTCACTCCTCACTTAGATTCTAGTTTTTCACTCTGTTTTAACCTATCTCAGGATTAGTGCAGGGATAAATATGATTGTTAATCTCCTGTTAAGAAGTTTTAAAAGCTTGGCATGAAGTTCAAGTGCCACTATGGCCATCCTTGTGCTTGCTTCTGCTCACCTGTGTTTGTGTGCTCAGGGGCTGAGCATCTCTCAGTGCACCCTACTGTTGCCTGTCTTTGCTCATTCACACCCTTACTTAAATATCCCTCCTTTTGTCATAGCCATTAAAGTCACACTTGTTTTAAGATGCAGCTGAAACATTACCTTTTCCATGCAGCTTTCTCAGTTTTTCCTTTGTTCCCTAATGTTCAGTTTTGTCCTCAGGCTTCAGCATTCATTACTTACGTTTAATTGTATACACATCTACCTCAGCCTTCCTTCCTTTTCAACTAATATTTGCCAGTAACATTGGAGTATCCTTTAGGAGAATTTCTGCTAACTTTAAGCACAGCTCCTATAACAAGAATATTTTATTTTATTTGTTCTTCTGCTTTCCTTTTTTTTTTTGAGTTGGAGTGTCTCTCCGTGGCCCAGGCTGGAGTGTCACAGACACCTCAGCATCAACCTGCTGGGCTCCAGTGATCCTTCCGCCTCAGCCTTCCAAGTAGCCGGAACTACAGGCAAACGCTACCATGCCTGGCTAATTTTTTTATTTTTATTTGTTATAGAGACGAGGTCTCACCAGTTGCCCAGGCTGACCTTGAACCTGCGGGCTCAGGCAATCCACTCGCCTTGGCTTCCCAAAGCGCTGGGATTATAGGCTGAGCCACCAAGCCCAGAAAGTCCTTCTGCTTTCAACAGAGTCATATTTACCGTACTTACAAGGGAAAAGAAAAAGCATATTTCCTCAAATTTAAGTGGGAGAAAATGAAGTAAAAATAATATGATTGAATGTCATTCAGGTTAACTTGTAAAGTTTCTCTAATTGTTTATATATATATAATTAGCAACTGGAATTAAAAATATGACTATGACTAGTTGACCAAGACAAGATGCACAGCTCCATGGTTAAGTTTATGTCTGAATAGTGGCAATTGCATTTGTTAAAGGGAATCCTGATTATTCTAGAGCTATGTAGATTTAACCATCAGTGCTTTCTCCCTGAACCAAGTGTAAATACTTTTTAATGAATATCCATCAATAGCATCTGTCTAATTCTACAGAAGCATTGAACTAAAGCACAAAGTTAAACTTTTAATTTAGATTAACAGCCTGCTCAGGAACACTCACCCAAGTAAGGAGCACATATAAAGTCATGAAAAAACTCATCTTGAGAGCTTGGCAGTACTTAGTCACATGAGCCATGCTAAAGAGTTTGGTGAATTTTATGAGATTGTGGGAAATCTGTCACCTTAAACTCCTAAATGAGTTAAGATGTTGAACTCCGTAATCTTGCTGGTCTGTATTTTAATGGGGAAATAATCCATTGCTGTCAAAATGTGTTCCATGGGTCAGTACTGGACCACAACCTGCTTGTCCCTGGTCTGTAATAGAGGAATAGAAATTAAGTGTAGATACTGAGACTCTTGTAGCAATTCAACATCGCTACAACATTATTATTGTATTTTACAAAAGTAATGATCCACAACAAACTGAAGATTTTAAAGAAATAAACATAAAATTCTGACTATATGTACCACAGCGATTTGAGACGCATTCATCTAGTCCATTTGCTCTTTTTGCACATGAGCTCTCTGAGGCTAACAGGAAATGACTTGCTCAGATTGGTGGCTCTTCAGGGAATCACTAGCTCTGTGATTCAGGGTTCCCATCATAGCCCTGTGCTTTGTGCTGTGTCGTTCTGCTTTCTTAAAGGTCCTGACCAGTAGTAGCAGTGCTTCTTTACCACTAACCCTCTACTCTCATCTTCCTTGGGTAGAAAATAAGCACTATATTTGTTTTCTTTATCTCTCTTATAATTTTCCTAAAAAGCTAATACTACTGAATACATCTTTCAGGTAACTTACAATCCTCTCTGAAGACTTCTAAAATATTAGAACACTTAAAAGAAGACAGCTCAGAAGCTTCAAGTCAAGAAGAAGGTAAACGCAGTTTCGACAGAATAAGTCATTCTGCCTGACATTGGAACATGAATAGAAAACAGTTAAGGAGCCAAGAAACAGACACAGAGGATTTGGAGTGTGACAGAGGTTACATTACAAATAATTAAGGAAAGACTAGACTGTTCATTACATGGTATTGGCACAGTTGACTTTTCACGTGAAAATCAGATTTCTAATTACATCATACAGAAAAATTTCAAGTGGATGACAACTTAAATGTAAAAATGTAAATTTGAACTTTTGAAAGTCAGTCTGGGACGAGAAGCCTTTCTTGAACAAAGCAGAGCATAACCATAGTAGAGGTCATACTAATCTAAGTTAGAGCTTACATATGACAAAGAAACCATATAACTAGAAGACAATCTACAGACTGGTTGATGACATTTGCAGTATATTAACAGATAAAAGACTATATATATGTCCAGACAATAGAAGGATCCCCCTAAAAAAAATCATTGGGAAAATCAACCCAACAGATGTGAGTGAAAGATATAATAGGTAATTCATAGAAGAGGAGACTTGAATGATTATTAAATGGTGCAGCCTAATAGTCAAGAAAATGCAAATGAGAACTGAAGTGTTATTTCATACTCATCAGATTGGCAAAAGACTTTCAAGTCTGATATTATCAAGGATATGAAGCAGTGGGAACTCCCATGCACTGCTGATGGAGATATAAATTGGCACAACTATTTTGGACAGAAGTTTGGCCCTGTACAGTGAAGTTGGAGATAATTTTATGCTGCTGTCCAGCAGTCCTGAAATTGTACCCATTCTCAAGGGGAAATGGACAGGAATACTTGAAGGCAGCATTGCTTGTGAGAGCAGATACCAGGAAATTTCCTGGATGTTTCAAATGTTAGGAAAGTTTAATTGTGATATATTTATGTTGGGTGGCAGTGGAAGGATATTTTTAGTACAGTCAACCCTCCATATCTGTGGATTTTGCATCTATATGTTTAACCAATTGTGGACTGAAAATATTTGGAAAAAAATAGTTGTGTCTGTACTGACATGTACAGACCCTTTTTCTTGTCATTATTCTCTAAACAATACAGTTTAACAATTTATATAGCATTTACATTGTATTTGGTATTATAAGTAATCTAGAGATGACAAAGTATACAGGAGGAGGTACATAGGTTGTATGTACATGCTGAAGGACAACTGTATATTCAATCATGTACCACTTGTATGTGTTTGAGCATATATATATGGGTAGTTAAAATTAAATCTTGCACTAGACTGTTTCAACACATGAGATAGCGGGAGAAAGCTAAATGGAATGGAGGAAGACCTTCAGTCACATCTGTGCTATTTTGTTTCATTTAAGAAAGAAACAAATACAGAGAAGTCTGGAAAGTAGGTATACGTGAATGTTTGCTATATTAATAGATATGTCTTTGACTATTTGAAACATTTCATTTTTTAAAATCTTAAAAAGAGTTCTACCTGAAATTAAATGTTGTAGTCTTGTAGGGGCATGCTCTTGTTAGATTTTCATCATTTTGGACATGAAAACTATAGTTTTAAGTGAAACTTTGCTATTAGGTGGAACACATTTGAGAGGATTATTTACGGTGATTCAGTAGCTTATTGTGTCTTTGAAAAATTGCTTCCTTAAGGTATTTTCTGTGTTGAGAAATGCTTAGAAGTGCTTCACATAGTCTGTTGCTACTGTTATGATCACATAAATGAGTAGCATCCTTTTAGATTTTTGCTGCAACATTTAGTATAATATTGCTTTTTTTCTCTACTCTAGATGTGTTGCAGCACACCATAATCCACAAGAAACATACTGGGAAAAGTCCCATTGTAAAGTAGGTATCCAATTTTTAAAACATAAATGTCTATGTGCATTTTTGTTTATCAGTGTAACATTTAATTAAATTACTGCTGTATTTGGCTATAATTCTGCCATCTTGCTGTTTGCTTTTTATTTGTCCCACCTTTTCTATGTTTCCTTTTCTCTTCTTTGGTGCCTTCTTTTGGGTTGTTTTGTTCTATTTTTCTCTTCTACTAGCTAGCTGTCATAGTTTTACATGTTTTTCTATTTTTCTCGTGGTTACCCTAGAGCAGGCCTGTCCAACCCATGGCCAGTGGGCCACATGTGGCCCAAGACAGCTAGCAATGTGACCCTACAAAAACTTTTTTTTTAGGATATTTAACTTTTTTAAAAAAATTATTTTATTTTAAAGATGTGGGGTACAATTCAGGATTAGGTATATAAGTGGTCATTGTACAGGTAAAGTGTGGGGCCCCTTTGGTCCCCACTTTGCCTGGTTTGAGATCAGGTATCAGGTAGGTACCTTATTGATGTTGTATGCTGCGTGTCCTGTCCCCTTCCCTCCCAGGCCTCCAGACCGTTTCTTAGAGTATTGTAAATGTCCAGGTTCTGCTTATGAGTGAGAATATATGGTACTTATTTGCTTCTGTGATAAATCTCTGAGTATCACAGACTCTAAATCCATCCAAGTTGCTGCAAAATCCATAATGTGTTCTTCTTTATGGCTGCCTAATATTCCATCATGCATATGTACCACATTTTTTTTAATCCAGTCCAGTTTTGATGGGCAGCCGAGTTAGTTCCAGGTTTTTGCTATCATAAATAGTGCTACAGTAAACATGCGTGTGCAGGTATCTTTTTTGTAGAGGGATTTAAGTTCCTCCGGGTATATCCCCAGAAGGGGGATTGCTGGGTCATATGGAAGGTCTTTTAGAAATCGCCACACTGTTTTTCATAGAGGTTGAACTAGTTTGCATTCCCACCAACAATGTAGAAGTGTTCGCTTTTCTCTGCATCGTCACCAGCATCTGTTGCTTTTTGTTTTATTAATGATGGCCATTCTTACCGGAGTTGGGTGGTATCGCAGTGTGGTTTACAAAAATTTTTTTTTTTTTTTTTTTTTTTTGGGTTGGAGTCTCACTGTCGCCCAGACTGGAGTGCAG